AAAAACTAAACAGAGGTGCTCATCTTTAGCCTCCAATATGTAGATTTCCTATGCCCACACTCCTGTTAGCTTCAAATAAAACTGAAAACATAGAGACGTCCACCTTTTTTTTTCTTCTTCTTCTTTTTTTAAGCAGGTCCTTTACTTCAAGCTTTGCAGGAAAAAAAAAAAAAAAAAAACCGGGTAAAAATGGGGGCCCCCCCCCTCAACAATTTTTTTTGACCCCCCCCCCCCCCCCCCCTTTAGTGAGAGCGTGTGCAGGGCTCAGTTTAGCTGCAGTAGCTTCAATATTTCATTTTACAGCTCTCTCCCTCTGTTCCTCTTTCCGAAAAGAATAAGTAAAATAAAAAAAATAATTAAAAAAAAGAAAATTAGAATTGCCCTCCTTCATGCTTGTTCCAGGCCAGACGCGTGAGCTCTTTGGTTGCACTCTGGGACGTAAACGTACGTTTTTCTCGAAGGTGGAACGAATTTATTTTAAAAAAGAAAGTAATAATATATATATTTTTTAGTAAAAAAAAATCTAAACCAAAAAAAAAACCCCTCTATTGTAAGTCGAAGCTCACATTGTAGCGCCTTCTCTTGTGTTTTAGGCCTGTTCGTGTGCGTAGGAAAGACAGCCGTCCCAACATTTGTGTTTGTTTTTGTGTATCCAGAGGCTTCCGTATGCTTGTGTGTCTCTGTGTGTGTGTGTGTGTGTGTGTGTATACAAGAAACATATATACGTGTGCATACACTAGTTATGAAGTTTCACAGGACTTCTATGTCGGACGCTAACGACAGTTAAAGCGAATCACAGTTCTATTCATACTAAGGCCTAACTACGTACGGCAGATTTAAAAAAAAATTGCACAATTATATCGACAATCACCGCAAAAAAAAAAAGAAAAAAAAAAAAAAAAATACCTCACCCTATAAAAGGTTTTAAATGGTAACCCCTATTTTTTTTCTGAGGGGTGATTATTTGTTTTTTTTTGGTCCCCCGCCCCCCCCCCCCCCCCACCTGGTGTTGTGCAAACATGGCCAGAGTCCAGAGAGTAGACGTGATACTGAAGGGTCTATTTTGCATGCAGCGACCTGGTTGAAAGACACACATGCAGTTTGGGGCAACCCCAAACACCCCACAAAGTTTGCTTTCATTGCTTT